CAGAAAATGACCGGTCAAAATCCGCAATACATTACAGAAAAGAAAAAGCATCAAACTCCTCAAATGCTGTTGAAATTTACGTGAGCGGGCGTTGGCTATCTTAGGTAGGTTGTGTATGGCGAGAAAAGTAGTGGAAAAAGGATGGTAACGGCATCGAAAAAGATCTGAGCATCTGAATGCCATGTGGAGTTGACATGATTAGCTTTCGGGAATTGTTTAACCATAATCAAAGAGAAAGTCAGAGCTGATGCTTTACCCATTGGATGTCAATGTACTCGACTCTCCATTTCCTAATTTTATTTCTTCGACTCTCCTCTCAGCCATAAGTTTTAACCCCAATATCTTCATTCTCCACTGTCATCTTCTAGTTTACTCCATTATTATTATTTAAAAAATTAAATAAACTTCCTTATTAATTAAAATGATTTTATAACTTTTTTTTGGTATATGAAAATATTTAATATTCACGTTGATAATTTTATAAAGATTTTATTTATTTCTTAGTACGTACAAAAATTAAGTCTTTAAAAAGGATTTGTAACTACTAAAATCTACTGTTAGTATATATTGTCTATTCTACCCATTACATGTGTCATTAGTCTCACAATTTTAAAACATTGCTAGGGAGAGGTTTACACAATCGTATAAAGAAGGTTTTGTTTCCCTCTCTAACTGATGTAGAATCTCACAAAATCCACATTTTTCGGAGCTCAACGTTCTTGTTACCACATTGTTCGGTGTATGATTCTGGTATCATGTGTAACATCCTAAAGTTAGACCATCTATTACAAAATGGTATCAAAGTCAAATTTGGACGGTGCAAGATACTGGTCGGAGTAGAGCTAGACCCTCTACATAGTAAACGCGTTTTAAAACTTAAAAGAAAGCCCAAAGAGTACAGTATATGCTATATGCTAGCCGTGTTCAAAATTTACGGATGGATTGAACCTAACTCAAAATAACATCTTTCTCAACAAAAGGATTCAACCATTTCAACACAAAAGTAAGAACAGGAGCATCAACCAAATCAAGAAGCAATTCTCATGGATTAAATGATCAAAACCCCCAAGTTCTAAACAAATCAAACAACAATACGGAGGCCTGCGAAGCCATTTGAATTACCGTTCCTGTGAATCGGCAAAAGTTCGGTATAAGAACTTCTGAACAATTGATACAAACTCGTCTACTTTTTCTTCATGAGGAAGGTGACCACAATGCTTGATCACCTCCAAGTGAGATCCTGGTATGGCTTGAGAAAGTTTCACAGCATTCCAAGAAGGTACAAGCCTGTCGCTATCACCGGTGATAATAAGAACTGAAATCGGTTACCAAAACAGCAGCTTGATTACTATTTAGAAATGCATAGACTGGTACAGGTTATTAAGCTCATGAATGCAACAAGTTTCAACTGTTGAAGTGATTTGGAAAAGGAACAGGGAAAGTAATCTAATAACTTGTGAATAATTATTATTACAATTATTAGTTTTCAATAAAGTCATGGGCTTTTATGTATTCTAGTTAGGTGGAAGGATAATATTTGCTAGTAGTGAGCTTGGACTACTACAAATAATATCAGAGCCAGACAACGGGCGGTATGCCAGTGAGGACACTGGGCCACAAGAGAGGTGGATTATGAGATTTCACATCGGTTGGAGAGGAGAACAAAACATTCCTTAATAAGGGTGTGGAAACCTCTACTAGTAGACATGTTTTAAAAACCTTGAGGGAAGGTCCAAAAGGGAAAGCACAAAGAGGACAATATCTCCTAGCGGTAGCCCATCTTGAGGGAAAGCTAGAAAGGAAAAATCCAAAAAGGACAATATTTACAAGCGGTGGGCTTGGGTTGTTACAAAAACTCAATTGAATACTTCAAAATACATCATTTTTTTTTTTTTTTTGACATTAGATGATACCTCCACTCCAAACATCTATAATTAATATTGCATACATAGTTATTCGATTTCTATGATGAAGATACAAGTGTTAGATGAACAAGACTCTCCATAATGGTATGATATTGTCCACTTTGAGCATATGGGCTTCCCTAAAAGGCTTCATACAAATGGAGAGAGTATTCTTTGATTATAAACCCATGATCATTCCCTAAATTAGCCGACGTGGGACTTTCATCATCCAACAATAAGAAATTATAATATATATCATGGACTCGAATAGATGCAAAACAAGTTCAGGCAGCATACTGTTGGGAGAATAAAGAGTTGATACTATTATTTCAACTTACCAGGACAGGAAATTTCACGAAGTCTTTCTGAAATTGGTGGGGAAGCCCTATCTGTAAGCATGGCTGCAACAAATTCCACAAGTGCCTTATCCCAGTTTTTTGTCCTCAATGGCTGCAATTTTACCATGATACAAGCCTTCTCAAATTAAAAACGAAAAATGAACGCCCATTTGATAACAATTTAGTTTTTGGTTTTTTTACAATTTCTCTACCAAAGTTTTCATCCTTGGAAAACATTTGAATTCATAGTCGATTCCAAAAGCCAAAAACACGTTTTAAAACTTTTTTTCTTTCTAGGTTACAACGTTTGGTTAGATTTTGAAAACATTTCAAAAGAGTGAATGACAAAACAAAGAAGTTCATAAGTGAGAGTGTTTATAAGCTTAATTTTCAAAAAATCAAATAATTATCGAATGAGGTCAAGTCTACCTTTGTATAGCCATGTAGAATATGTTCATTTACTCGAGCAGAATCGTACCAAGCATTCTTGATAGCAACAATACCAGCTTTATCTATAATCATCCGTACCTGGACACACCAGAATGTTTATAAAACCCATATGCTCAGATGTTAATAAAGAAAAGGAATTGAACAAGAAGAACCTTTGGCAAATAACAAAATGAAACACTTTACCAACGTTAGAACCAAGGTTGAACGAAGAAGAGCTAACAGAAGTTTTATGTACAAGAAGTCGAGGATTTCTAGAATTCTTTTCACCATCTGCATTATTGACTGCGCAATGAACTTGGCCACATCTGACAGAATCTTGAACAGTTGAATTACTGGATTCCCAACAACATTTGAATCAGAGACGTTCTCTTGGACCGGGTTGTCCCGGGGAAATCTAACTCCTAAAGGAGCCAGAATTGCTGGGGCAACAAGGATTAAAGCAGCAACCCTTTGCGGATCTTGGAAGTATGAATTTACTGCTACAAGCGAACCTGCTGAATGCCTGATGATAACAGTTTCTATTATCGCTTGGAAAGATCACAACATTCAGAAGGATATGACATAGTTCATGATTCATGAAATAGGTTAGAAATCTTCATTCCAGCTTGGTTTCATCAAGAAATTTTGTAACTGATATCAAAGATGACCGAGTATCTCTTCACTGTTGCTCTGGTTCTTTTTTCAAATGACTATTTAGTTCAAGTGGAAAACAAGAAGCTTAGGCTAATTTTACACATGATGTCCATGAAAGTATGAACCAAGGTGAAAACACTTAATTGGAAACATCTCACATCACTTATCTTAACAAAATGAAAGTTTAAATGGGTAGGCATCAAGTATACCATCGAATCCTGTAACGGCCCAGGCCCACCACTAGCCAATATTGTCCTTTTTGGGTTTTCCCTTTCGGGCTTCCCCTCAAGGTTGTTAAAACGCATCTGCTAGAGAAAGGTTTCCACACTCTTATAAAAAGGTGTTTCGTTCTCCTCCCCAACCAATGTGAGATATCACAAATCCACTATTGTGTGTCATTAGAACTATGATGAAATGGAGCATTGGAAGAATAGATCAACAAAATTCATGAGTTCCCACCAGAGACAATCCACAGAAGTAAAGACAGAAATATGCATACCCAATCAAGATTGCCTTTTCAGCTCCTAAGAATCCGATGAAATACAGAGTAGCAAGGACTGAAAACGCCATGCTGTATGGATTTAGAGGTTTTGTGTCCTTCGTACCAGCAGAAGAATGCCCCAAATAATCTTCCCTTGACGTCAATCCAAAAGCTGGTCGATCAAACGCCAGTACTTTGGAACCAGTAATATCAGCTAAAGGCTTCATCACCCAATTCCATGAGAAAACAGAAGCTCCAAAGCCATGCAAGAGAATCATAGGAAGACCAATCTTGTTAGTTCGATGAGGAGTCGAAGTTGTTGGCAGAGCAGGACTTGGATTAGGGGTTAGGGTTGGCGTTCGAGTTTGATATAAGGAGTCCCCTTGTAATTCCGGATCATAAACCTTGTAATGTAATTCCAAACCATTAAACTTACAGAAAAAACTATCAGGATCAGCCAAAGTTGTAGGCTTCAACAATTCTTCTTGATCTACACCAGCTATTTTCCTTCTCTGTTTAGCTTTGGAATCATACACTTGCTCTGTAGATCCAAAGAAATCACCCATTGAACATCTGTGTGCGCATCATTAGCAAAATCCAAGGTAGAAAATTGGGGAACAAATTGAAAATTGTTTGCAAATGGCTAGAACAAATTTTTAGAAAAACAAGGTCATATGTTCAATTTTCTACGTTAGTCTGTGAAATTCCCCAGAAAATGTCGTAATAGTTCGGTTTCTTCAGTAGTAAACCCCATAATTCTACAGAACTATGCAAACATGGTGATTCACCAACAATGCAGAAAGCATACAGAGAATATGAAAACTAATTTAACGATTGTACTTGTAGAAAGCATAGTTACAGACATCGAAGTCCAGAAGAAATGAAGAAGGCAAGTAAATTACCAGAGAATTCAGCATCGGAACCACCGACGGAGGAAGAAGAAGAAGAAGCAGCAGCGGAAACAGAAAGAGGAACGCGAGCGATTGAGGAGCTACCTCGCGTAAAACTGTTGTTCCTCTGAATCCTTGAACCGCCATTGATGTCTGCACGGATATGCAAGCAGAACAGAGCAGGGGAAAGGGAAGAAGAAAGCACGTGCCCGAACATCCAGAGCAAATAACTCGACCCGATCCAGCCGAAATAATCGAGAGACGTGCCGTATAAAGCGTAATCGTCTAATGGGCGCATTTTATCTCTCTTAAGACGACAGCATTAAAATCTTGGTCCTCCACATATGGGTACTAGCTTAGGGTTTGAGAATTAAATTGAGCTTACAAAATGGAAGCACTTGTCTGTAGGAAGCTCGGAGATCCAACAACATCGGTGCCCAGCGATGATAATTCTCCGGTGGTGCTGAGTAAAAATCATCCGATTCCGACGTTGGATTCTCCGACGTCGGTCAGAGTTCAGATTACAGCTACAAGTTTGAATTACGCCAATTACCTTCAGATTCTAGGGAAATACCAAGAGAAACCTCCTCTTCCTTTCATCCCTGGTTCTGATTACTCTGGAATCGTCGTCGCTGTTGGCTCCAAAGTTTCCAAGTTCAGAGTCGGAGATCGCGTTTGCTCCTTCGTTGGCGTCGGTTCTTTTGCTCAATTCGTCGTTGACGATGAGTCACGACTGTATGTTCTTTCTCGCCATTGGCCTCCTTTTCTTACGTCTATTGCTACAGTCATGAATTTGCGCTGAAGCATATCTCTTCTCTGTTTGACCTTTTTTCATAAACAAACTGAAGATTCCGAGTACCTGATGGATGCGATCTGGTGGCCGCTAGCGCACTTCCGGTTGTGTTCGGGACCTCGCATGTTGCCCTTGTACACAGGGCCAAGCTGGCTCCTGGACAGGTATTTTTCTTCTCTCTGGTTCAGATGTGTAAATTTGTTGGCGTCTTCCATGGATTCATCTCTAAGCACAAAAAGCTGAACAAAGTAGCATTTGTACATTAGATTTTGGATAGCAATCTAAACAAAAACAAATGAATCAGATAAGAAATTGGAGAAAGCGTTCTTATTCGTAATGGTGTCCTCAAATTCTTGTAAAAAGGCAAAATATTCTTAGTATCTGAACAAATTTCTTTGCACCATTTTTCTGCTTCTCTAGCAAACATTTTGAGAATTAAGGTATTTCTGAAACATCCTTTTTAGATTGAACCACAAATGCTACTTTTTCAATCAATCAAGTCCTCGGAATGCAATCGACCATGAAATTTTGAACGTCTACTTTGATCCCCGGTCTCCTTTTTGTGTTGTCACGAGAGTAGATATCTCTCTTTTGAACTTCATTATTAGTCGTTGTTCACATTAGAGGTACAAATTTCTCTTTTGGCTCAAGTTCAATAGCCACAGGCCAGCATTGTGCCCTCCAATACTGCATCTGATTCAATATGCTATTCACTTCCTTTCTATTGACTATTTGATTCTCAGATTGTTGTATTCTCAAATATCTAGACTTGTGGATGGAGTATCATCTTTAAACATTGGTAACGCAATAGTTCATGATTATAAAATGAAAATTTCTAGGTACTGTTGGTTCTCGGGGCAGCTGGAGGCGTTGGCCTAGCTGCTGTTCAAATCGGTAAGGTCTGCGGTGCAGTTGTTATTGCAGTTGCAAGGTAAACAAGTATTTCATAAATCAACCATCAACTCTGTCCAATAGTTCTTCTGTTATTTCCTGGCCCCCTTTCACCTACTCAAACAAGGTTATGATACACCATATAATGAGATCTGTTCCCTGCATTGTCTTTCAGGGGAGCTAAAAAGGTAGAGTATCTCCGGTCTTTGGGCGTCGACCATGTAGTAGACTTAAATCATCAAAACGTCATTGAAAACGTGAAGGCCTTCCTCAAAGAAAGAAAACTTAAAGGGGTCGATGTTTTGTATGATCCAGTTGGAGGAAAGTTGACAAAAGATTCAATGAAACTTTTAAATTGGAGCGCAAGCATTCTTGTGATCGGGTTTGCCAGCGGGGAGGTCCCTGTTATTCCCGCAAATATAGCTCTTGTTAAGGTAACCTCTTTTTGTTTTCCTTCTATCACCATTTACTTTCCCATGTTCAATCTTTTTATTACAATATGAACAGAACTGGACGGTGCATGGACTTTATTGGGGCAGCTATAGTATACATAGACCCCAAGTTCTTGAAGAATCTATGAATGAGCTATTATCCTGGTTATCAAGCGGATTGATCCGAGTTCACATTTCTCATATTTATAGCCCACTAGAGGTGAGTAACCTTTGAGCTTACTTCAATTTGCCACTGCATTAGATTCTAGTGGTTTTTTTTTTTCACTAAAGGAGTATTTCATTCTTTGGAGGATTCACTACCTCTCCTCTCTCACACGCATTATGTTGATGATTGTAATGCTGCATCTGAAGTTAGTTTGAGTACTGTAGAATCTACTTTTAAGCCTATGGAAACAAAACTAAACTTTTATTGAGCTACTGGTTCATAAATGGTGAAATCTCACGTTGGTTGGAGAAGGAAACAAAACATTTTTTATAAGGGTGTGGAAACTTCTACCTAGTATATGTGTTTTAAAACCCTTGAGTGGAAACCCGAAAGGGAAAGCCTAAATTTTATAAGGCTGTTTTTGTTGGAGCCAAGATCTTTGAGTCTTAGCTCACCCGTAGTTGAGTCTAGGCATTATTTATCTTTTTAAAGATGGGAGGTTGAAATCTTCTCACTATGTCTCGTTCGAGAGTCGAAAAAGTGTACATAGCTGACATGTAACGTACTATCTTTCGTGTTCAGTGTCGGATTGTCTTCATGGTAAAACACAGAGCATCTGAATTGACATACTCGTCTGATTCTTTTCACAGGCCAACCTTGCCTTTTATGCCATCAAGAACAGAGAAGCTGTTGGGAAAGTAGTGTTGGTATTTGAAGACAAGACCATGAAATCGAAGCTTTAAGGGATTGAACAGGGATTTGAGGAGGAAATGGTAACCATAATTGTACTGAAACTCAAGCTTTCCTTTTCATTACTTGCTGAAATAAGTAGACTTCGAAAATTGTAAACTCAAGCTTCCGTTTTCCAAAGAAATAAGGCTTTGAAACGTAGAAGAAGAAGCGCATTGTGTATTTCTCCTTCTTTATAATATTTTAGCATACAACAAATAAGAAAAAATTGATTAAATGAGATCTTTAAAGAAATTAGTACATTCGAGAGAGTTTTCTCGACTAAAATGCGTATCAATCATATTCATAATACAGAGAAACAAATGATTCGACACTATTTGGAGCTTCCCCTGCTTGCTTGTCTCGGTTTTCAATGTGGACAAGTCCATGTCGTGCACTATGGACTAAATATGTCAGTTATTTAATGCGCATGGTTCTCATATTATTGCGTAATGTCAAAATTCTAGGTTGGTGGGTAATTCATGCCACTTTAATAGAATAGAGTTTGTTCGAGTTGGACTAGATTAGATTGTCGGGTTGTGTTTTTTTAATTGTTTAAAAATACTTGCTTCTTAAAATCTCATAAAACTCAGATATCAGTTTCCAAACATTAGTTACAAATGTTAATCAAATATTATCATAAAACTCAGTTATCAATTTCTAAACATTGCTTACAAATATCAAATATTATTAACTTTTATAATAATCTTAAAAATAACGGGATTGAGTTGAGTTGTAACCTTAATTTTGGATTGACCAGATAAAAAAAATGTCAACCCAACTCTAAAAATTTTAATTATACGAACGTTTAGGTACATTTTTGTTATATACACCAATTTTTCCATCTATAAATCTTATATACACCAATTTATGACTATGATAAATTAGAAAAAATAAGTAAGAATTACTTGAACGTATGCCAAACCGTTACTAAGGATGGCATAATGTGAGAATTTTTACATTTTTATGCACTTCCTGTCCGCCTATTTGATAATTGATGAACCGAACCAAGTGGCTACGGTTGGTCCTCTTCTAAACCGGCCCGGTTTGACTGATTCTGCGAGGGAACTTTTTCTTTTTCTTCTATTCGCTGCGATCGTCTCCCCCCTCTCTGTGTTGTATTCAGTTTTTGCTTGGACCGTACTCAACAACTTCACTGCAAGCTCTCCTGCAACTTTCGCAATCTCTCCCAGGTCTTCATGCTTTCCAAATTCTCTAAACCCTCTAAAAGGGTTCTTGAGGGTCTTCTCGACCTCAGGATCAGACTCCATTTCAGTCATCATCCGGTCAGCTCCTCCAATGCCCGCCCTCTTCTTCGAGATCCAATCATCAGAAATTCCTTCTCGTCTTCCTCCTTCCAATCGAAATTCTCTTCAAATCCTGGTCTGTCCCAAATCCTCTATGCTCCCAAGGTCGCTGCTGGGAATTCTTCCGTTGCCACTAAATTGAATGCCTATCGTTCTGCTTCTAGGTTTAGATTCTTCTCTGTTAAGACTCCAGGTTTCGGGGGTCAAATCAATGGTAATTTTGCTAAGAAGGTCCTTGATAAGCCCACTGCGGCTGTTCGTTCCGCATTTTCGCGGTACCGCGAAGCCATAGGGTTGCAAATTGAGGCTTTCTTCAGGAGAAATTATCTAGTTCTACTCGGGTTTGGAGCAGCTTTAGTTTGTGCATTGCTCTGGAGGATTATGTTCGGTGTTGCGAACACCTTTGTTGGCCTCTCTGAAGGCATGGCCAAGTATGGATTTCTCGCTTTATCTTCAGCAATCGTTGCTTTTGCTGTGAGTTTTCTCTTTAATCTCTTCGCTCCGTGTTACCTTCGTTTTCTAAGAACATGATTTTTGATCCCTTTGCTTGCGCTGCTAATGATTGAGTTAAGATTAAGATCATAAACTATCCTTTTGCTTACGCAGAGATTGTTTTTCCCTATATAAATCCAGAATCTATTTGTTCTTGGGTTGAGACCTAGATTTATTGTTTATCTTGACCTTTTCTCCTCACTCCAGTTTGTGAAAATTGAATATTTCAGCTATTTTTCTGTATGAAGAATTATATGATACTTTGTGGATTATCAATGTTGAATGTTATCTACCCCTTTTTCATTTCAAGGGCCTCTATATGCGTTCTAGATTCACAATTAATCCTGATAGAGTTTATAGAATGGCCATGAGAAAGCTCAATACGTCAGCAGGAATTCTTGAGGTTATGGGTGCCCCTCTTACAGGATCAGACTTGAGAGCTTATGTTATGTCAGGAGGAGGGTTAACTCTGAAGAACTTCACGCCAAATCGTCGGAGCAAGCGGTGCTTTCTTATTTTTCCCATTAGAGGCTCTGAAAGGAAGGGTCTAGTCAGTGTTGAAGTCAAAAAGAAGAAGGGCCAGGTTTGCTTTTATGCTCGCCACTTGTTTTATTCTTCAAATATCATGAAGTTGTTACATCTTTTGAACCTTGAAGAATCATTTTGGTATTCTTTCTTGACGTGAAACTGTATATGAATTCATTGAATTTCTGGAAGGTCATTATATATTTGAGTTTTTGCTTGTGGAGACATATCTATTTTGGGTTCTCTTATTATTGTTACCTTGTTGTGAATGCCTGTTAATTCATGATGCATCAAGAGGTTATAAGAATGCACTTTACAAGATCATACCCGTTTGTTGTAATTTGATTTCTCAATAGATCTTTGATAGGCAGCTGAAGTGGATACGTGAGTTAGTTGACAGAGATTAGCTGCTGACATTGGTTAGTTTGAGTGTTGAAATGTGGTGTAAAAGGTTTGTTGACCATGAATTAAAAGTTATGGCGGATATGATGGAAAATTATGCAAATATAGGGCTAGAGTTGTGCGAAAGAGAGTCATCTCAACATACCTTGCATGCATCTCAACCATTCTCGTGGAAGACTGCTTGATCCTACTATATTTTAAGTTGATAAGTAACTTGTACTATATTTGATTTTAGGTATATGGTTATGTGAGATCCCACGTCGTTAGAGAGGAAAATGAAACATTCCTTATGTGGATGTGGAAACTTCTTCCAGTAAGACGCGTTTTAAAACCGTGAGGCTAATGGTGATACGTAATAGGCTAAAGCAAACAATATCAATTAGCAGTGGGCTTGAGCTATTACAAATAGTATCAGAGCTAGTCAGCGAGGACGCTAGACCCCCAAGAAGGGTGGATTGTGAGATCTCACATTAGTTGGAGAGGGGAATGAAACATTTCTTATATGTGTGTGGAAAATTTATCCTAATAAACATGTTTTAAAACCATGAGGTTGATGGCAATACGCACCAGGTAGACAATATCTTCTTGTAGTGGGCTTGGGTTATTACAGGTTATTATGGCTTGAACCTATTTTCTCGATCTCATTTGCTAATTATGTTGGCTTTTACCGATCCTTATGTCAACCCATGATAGTTGAGATGCGACCATTTTTTAAGAGTGGTATAGGTTCACCATAAAGAGATCCATTTGTGCAAGATGTGGACCCATGATTTAGAGTCGCAAACAAGTGTAGAATATCAGGGGAGATCTGTATCAATCACAGATTTTCCTTTCTTCAAACAATAGACCATTATTAATTTTCAAGAAATCAAGTTATATTTATTAGTTGTGAAGTTTATAATGAAGAACAGTTCTCCTGATCTTAATGCATGATACTGTCTTTATTTACAGTATGATATGAAGCTACTGGCAGTTGACATTCCCATGGCATCAGGACCCGACCAGCGGTTATACCTGATTGGAAACGAAGAAGAATACAAAATAGGTGGTGGGTTGATTTCTGAACTAAGGGACCCTGTTGTAAAAGCCATGGCTGCTACCAAGGAATTTGATGATCTTGACCAAATAGAGGAAAAGGAGGATGCAGAGAGAGAACTTCAGGAGGCAGAGAAAAAGCAGCAAGAAGAGATCGAAAAACTCGAGAAAGAACGATAAGCTTTTCTTGTTCTTTCGATCTTTCAATCTTCCGTTGTCTTCAGATCAATTCTTTGGAGCTGTTTCGAGTTTCCAGCCTCATCTTAGAACAATCTAACTTGGTGTTATTAACCCCAAATCTGTATCTTTTTGGAAAATTTCAAGGTTCGCTGCGCAAGAATTCGTTGAATTCTGAGTTTTCAGAAGGATCCTAGCGGGAAGTCAGTTGAATAAAGCTTGCACAGCATATTGTCTTGCCTCTGATTTTAACTAATTTTTATAATTTAATATTTAATTAGTTATGCCCACCCTATTATCATATATAAAATAAAAAAAAATTAAATTAGACCTTTAATTTATAATTTAAAGGTTAATTTAGATATAACCATCCTATTTGCAAATATAAAATTTTAATTTTAGAAATCTGTCATGGATATATAATTTGTTGCCATGTTTAGGAATTAAATATTTAATATTTAATTTAGTTATAGCCAACATATTTAGCATATGTAAAATTGTTAATTTAGTTGTAACCACCCAATTAGCTTTAAATAACTTATTTAAAATATATTAAGGGGGCAAAAAGGATGAAGCAATTTTCTCCCGCCAGTTCTTAGTATAAATAGGTTTAGCATTGCCTGAATCCACAAATCTCTTTTTCAAATGTTCGCTCTCTAACAGATTTGAACCTAAAAAAAATTGGAGGAGTCTCTATTTTATTTAGTGGATCGATAGATAGAAGCTGTATTCATCCGATCGTTACACATGGAGGTTGATCTGTATTCTGATCCCTCGCCGCAAAAATTGGCTTGTTCTTCTCGATAATTTTCCCTCTGCTCTCACATTCCTTGTTCTCCTTCAACCAATGCATTTCAGCCTTAATTAGAAGTTTTTTTCTCGAAATTTTCGTTTTCGTCTTCGTCCTCTTCCTTCTCTAGGCGCTGCTTCTCCTGAAATCTCAGGATCGGCTTCAATGATGAGTTGTACAAGATGCTGAATCAACGCTATCCCAAGGTAATGATGATCTGTCCATGTTTTCGCACTTCTTTTGGTTCTGGTAGTCGAGATTCTTTGTATGGAGAGAATAGGGAGGTGTATTGATTCGATTAAATCTAAAATTCGTAAATATGATAATTCCTTTGCGCTCATTGATAATGATCCATGCGTATTGTTTTTCTTATATGTTTTTGCTCTCTCTGATTCCGTATCCTTTGTTGAATATCTGCGTCTCATATTTGCTTCTGAGGTGCAATGAAATCTCTGCTTTGATGCATTGAGGTGCAATGAAATCTCTGCTTTGATGCTATGCGGCCATTGCCGTGATGGATTCCCCAGTTTTCTCTGTAAATTTCAAAGAGAGACCGTTTTGTTAATACTTGAGAGCTGTTTTGGAAACGGTTCTTTTTCGTATTTATTTCCAAAGTTAGTTTTAGGATTGTGATTTGAAAGATTTATAGGAACTAATGCATTGACATCGAGATCTCTATCCGTGATTTTGGAGGATAACTTTATTTTATTTTTGTAAAACCGACCATTTCTGAAAACACACTTTACGAAAAGAAGAAAAGCAATTTTGAGAAATAGTTAACGAACATGATTGTTTCATACTTTTTCCTTCAAACAAGAGGAATGTTAACTAACAGTTTCGGGATGATCCATTGGTTTCAGTTTCTCATCACCATTTCATTAATAGATAAAAGAGAAGGTAGTTTTTATCTTTCAAGTCTATTAGAACAAAAATAGTTAACAGGCATAAAACCTGTACAATCAACCTAAAATGTTTGAATCTCTCACCTTACATATTATTGAATTATATATATATATATATATCATACATATTCTTTGTTCCATATCTTTGTTTCCATGAAAAAAATGAGAGTTAATTCGAAATTGTTTCTTGTGAAGTTCAGGTTTTAGAATTAGGCCTGAGATACGAGAAACAAAAAAAAATGTCATTTCTCCTTTGAAAGATTTGCTCAATTGGTTACCTCCTAAAGAAGGAAGAAAATCCTTCGACTTTGTTGAACTGAAAAAAAAAAAAAAATGTAACTATTATAATGACAACAACGGATGCATCAACTGCTAGGACATCTTCCTCCTTTCGCCATCCTTTCACGTCTTAAGGCCACGGTCCAAAAAATTATTGGTTTGACTTGACTTCATTCTCTAGTTTAAAATCGGTGTGCAAAGAGAATGGGAACATGACTTTTGCTATTTGATGTTTCCATGTTTAGGATTTCATGATCTTGCATTAGATACCAATATATTTTTGTTTCTTGCTCGAGCTTAGTAAAGGCATACTTTGTTTGAGTTTGAAGGTATGTTACCTTTCTTGCGAGGTTAGTTTATGAATGACTAATTCGTTGGATTTTAATTCAAAAATAGATATCTTATGAATGGGAATCTACCTATGCCCTCCTTGTCTCATCTTAAAGAATTTTTATCATATAGGGCTAGAACAAAAATGACAATTGCACAAAGTAAAAGGAAAAAGAAGTTCAAAATAGAGTTTCGTGAAAACTTGAGCAAAGTGTAAGGCTTTTTTCTTCAAGTTTCCAGTGCAACTGATTGCAGGTTCCATTGGAAAATGAATTAAGATCTAATCTTACATGTATTCTCGACTGATACATATCATGCAACTTAACAGGTGTCCTGTTTGGAAACGACCTTAATTTTTTCAGACAGAGATTCGATTTTGCATTTTCAATGGGAAGCTGCTGGACTAAGGTAGGCCTCGCTGGCAATTTATCTTTTATATTATGTTTTCAAGGTCTTGATTTCTCGTATAGTGTTCTCTGCTTTATTTTGTTTGCTAGCCTCGCAGTTTCTGGCATGCCTTTTGTACATTTTATTTTTATTCATCAAGTTCATGGTCATCATGGGTCCACATAACCAAGTGGAGGTTTGAAAATAGCACTTCGCTTCTGTAAATTCTTACTTGTTCAGAATCATAAGAGCCCACTAAATTTTCAGAGGATCAAATTTTCTCTCTTTCAAATATCATAATATCTGAACTCTCTCTTTCACATAGATTTTTTAAATAAATCTACTTTAAAGAGATTTATCCTGAAAATTTTATTCGAAGTTCCACTGCGCTATGTCTGCTAATGGTCAGTATTGACTTATTCCACTTTCCCTCATTTACATGATCAATGTTAGAACCTTAGATGATAGTGTTACAGTGGTAGTACCCAAGTTCTCATCCTTAAGACCCATCCTCTGAAAAATTATTGGACATGAACATGATCGTATTCTAATTATTAGATGTCTGATTAAACCATACTTTTTAAGCTCTGTGTCATATCTCCAACGGGATAATGGTAAATGATTCTGTTTCAACCTAATCAAATAATTTTTCCATCTACTGAGTTACATCCACACTTGACATTTTGCAGCTTTTCAATAGCGATCAGAAAGACAATGCCGTCAAGGAGCAAGTTGATAGCAAAAACGTACACCTCATTACGTCGATTGAGAAGTGGGAGGCGAAGCTTTCGGAAGCAACCAAAGATGGCAAGATTGTAAGTTTCTCCCTCACTTGTTCGTGGTGAACAAAAATATACAGTGTTTTATGTTTAAACTATGCAACAGGTTGTTGCAAATTTCAGTGCACCATGGTGTAGACCTTGTAAATCCATGACACCAGCATTTTGTGAGCTTGCTGATAAGTATACTTCCATGGTATTTTTGGCCATTGACGTCGACGAGCTAGCTGTGAGTAAATCCATCTTTTGGTTACTTTTCGTTTATTTATGTAAATGTGAATATGAATCTAGCTAGCTCTCCACTGACGGAGTGTTCTTATCCATGACCTCACACTTTCATTTTTACAGTTTGTATGGCTTTTGTTTCTTATTTCTTCACTCTCATTTTCTGTTTTTCGTTCGTTTGTTTGTTTCTTGTTTTTGGAAAAAGAAACATAAGAATTATTTCTTGATTTTTGTTTTTTTTTATTGTATATAGTTGTGTTTGGTAACTATTTTTTAATTTTATCCTCTAAAATTTCAAAATTATCATGTTATATTTGATTTTTGATGTAGTAAACATTTTTTTTTAATAAGAAATGATAAATTAGTATGTGTTTAAAAACTATAAACAAGAAATATGATACTAGAAACTATAAACAAAAAACTAATTTGGGGAATTTTCTTCTGTTTTTCTTTTCCTCTTTATTAAAGTTAAACTAGAGTGATTTTGATTGGTGGACGACATATATTTTAATTTATTGAGTTGTGAAAAAAAAAAAAAAAAAAGAATCAAAGAATTGAAAACATTACAAAAAGTGTCCTAAATCCTAATTTAAATTGATAATGGTATAGTTTATTGTATAGTACGGTGAGTTTTAGAAGTTTCTTAGACTGAGGTCGGGTGAGGTGGGGTTTTTTAATTTTAATTTTATTTATTTTGCAGGAGCTCAGTAAATCGTGGGACATCAAAGCCACTCCAACATTCGTGTTCTTTAAAGATGGTCGCCAAGTAGATAAATTAATAGGAGCTGACAAGTCAGATCTGCAACAGAAGATAGCTGCAATGGACGAGGCTTGATACTTTTTCATCCCCATTTACTGATACATAATAGAACACCGAAAGCACAATACAAATTCCCATAACAAAACAAGGAAAACAAAAAGAAAAAAACAAAAAAAGTGCATTAGAGGGAGGAAATCTTTTGTGCTTTCTTACCCAATTTCAGTGAGAAATTCGTTCCATACTCGGAGGATAAGTCGTCATCATTCTTTATGGTTCCCTGCTTGCAAGAGAACACGATGTACTGCTGTCAAATGCACAATTTGAAACAATTACGAAGCACTATATATTTGTAGTTTTATTGTTGAATCACAAGAATTTTGAGATGTTCTTATTTTAGCATAAGAGAGAGAAAGTGAGTGAAAATGAAAAATGCCCTCTCCCTCCCCTTGTTTAGTTACATGCCGCCGTTGAGGAGGCGGCGGCAGCAGCAGCTTTTACGAGCAAGCCAAAGAGCAGAGAGGGGTTGGAGAAAAAGGGGCTGTGATCAGTATCCATTTCATATACGATTTCGGGTAGCCATTCCCTTATCATCGCCTCTTGTTGCTCTGGTTTTATTACTCGATCGTACGTTGTTCTTATATACACACGTTTCACCGTATCCAGCTCGCCGTTCTCCTCCCTAAACCGAGCGGTCCTTAAAGCGAGGATTGGCCCTGGCCTCAATAGCATGGAGGCCAGTGTCGAATCCTGAGAATCATTGATAACATCAAAACACGGGGTATCATGATGGAGGTTAGATACAATTGCTTCTTAATTCAGGGTATGTTTGTTTGGGATGGCATGTTCAAAATCAAATCAATTTTGGCAGCGTAAGATCAAATATTAAATAGATTTTGACTGATCAAAGGATTTTAAATGTTTTAGAACACTTTCAGGCATGTTTTTAGGATCAAATGCAATTATATTAAAAATCTCAAGGCAGGAAAGGATCTCGTGGTTGGATTGGGGATGATTCCAAAACTAAGAAACTATGTTACTTCATTATTATTTTATTTTTGTGGGTTTAGGTACCTCGTGGGGACTCATGTGATAGATGATCTTTCGCTGGAGTTCCCTTTTGATGACAGCAGTGGTGGGAGGTTGTTGGGGTCCTAGTCCAAATCCTACGTCGTAAACATCCCCAAACTCGGATAAATCTGGCACTCCCTGCACATTTGACCAAAACAAAAACAAAAGGTAATAATCATAACGGAAATGGTTAACTCGTTAATAATGACCTAATCATCTTAATCTTATATTATATAATATAAGAAAAGAAAAAGTAAGTAGAGACCGGCCCAACATATTATGTAGGACACGGGAAAATTTTACTCCCCTACTGCTTAGGGCGCGTGGCCCAATCTAGAATTGCAGCGGTTTTTATCCAAAAAAATAGTATCCCACCCTATCCCCTTCCTTTTCATTAGAGGGTAGCCTCCAATCCTTCCTTATCACTCTCCCCTAAACAGCTCAAGTTCAATCAATCGTATAAATCGGGAAATCCCGTGTATATATATTGCAATTTTTAGCTAAAAAAGATCTTCAATTGTTTCGCTCCTTCCTTCTTCATTAGGCCTCCTCCAAGCGTTTTGCTATGCCTTCGGAGTGTTTTCGGTACCAAAAATATTTCAAGGGGGTTGGTAGCAAATGAAAGGAAAGAGATAGGTGTGGGACGAGACTAGAGAGAGAGAGAGAGAGAGAGAGAGAGAGGGAAGGACTAGAGAGGTTAAGCTCAATGAGTAGGGAGAGAGGGACATTGACAGGGAAAGGAATCAAGGGTGGGGGCACTATTTCTTTGAATATAGAAAAAATAAAGAACTTGAATAAGTAAGACATGTAAATTTTGGATTGGGGTAAATGGGCAGCCGCAGCAGGAATTCCTGTGTCTGTCCAATCAGAATCAGAAGGGAAAATAGAATGGCATTGCATTGTATTTTCCTTGATCATTGAAGAAATTAGGCTTATAAAAGAAAAATATGAGTGCACACACGTGAGAACTGTGAACTTGTGAAACCTGTCGGCTCCTCTTGAGTCTTGAGCACACTATTACCTTCCGGACTTTGAGAACTCCAACTGGCCTTAACCTAATTTTGACTTTCTTTCGTACAAAACCACGGAAAATATTCCAAACACTGTTGCAGCATACAGAACATACTTTAATTACATCCTTATTTTTATATGCATAGCCTTAATATTCTTCTAATGGAATGTTTGTAATCTTGGATTACATTGATATAAGCTATAATTAAAAATTAACTTTACCTATAAGCTATAATTAACTAGACTTACATAATTCTTACTTTAAACAGAGTACATTGATTTTTTTTTTTTTTTTTTTACGACCAAAAAGATTTTCATTAATTCTTTATAATATTCAACTTTATTAAAATTATTAGCAGACAATTTTATAATTTTTACAATCCTACCTTGCCACCTCGTGGTTCTACCGTACCGATCTACTTCAGGATAAAAATCACATCCAAGCAAGCTCAACTTTAAATTATCAATTATGTAATTTTTTTTTTTTTTTCCCTTTTCAACTCACAATTTAAATACTATCGTTTTGCTTATGAATTGCTAATCACTGACTCTATAGAAACTATAAGTGCTCATTTTAAATGAGCGGTAACAATTTAAAAAAAATTAGACCTAAATTATGGATTAACTTGAACGTAGCTTCTTTATTAATGCATCATTTTCTTATTTAAAAGGTTGAAAAAGAGTTTCTACTGACGTGGTGTATTTTTTTCTTTTTAAGAAAAAACTCCAAATTCATGTAACCTCCAATAAATAAAATGAAGTAACCGACACAATGAAAACTCACCTGGAATAAATTTTGCTACCAGAATTATTCAATATAATGGAATCGTTACTCAGACTATTATGAGTCAGAGTGAGAGGATGCCAATAGTCCTACAGTTAGAGGCGAAATGAAATGTTCAATTCAGCAACCAGCTGGCTGGTGGTTGTCCCTAATTCATTTTCCTAATTAGAAGACAAAACGGTTAGACTTAATTGATTGATGACTTTGAATAAATTGGCACTTAGCAGCCGGTGTTTTTCCTGCCTCATGCGATCTGCGATGAGAGCAAGAGCCTTCGATTCCACTAATGGCCAAAACTATTCACACGATTCACTGTCATACTACCACCACCGGCCGGCGACGAGTTTCACAAGAACCTCGCCGTTCGGCCGGCCAACTCATAAAAAGAACGCTGCACTAATACGCCTAGTTAAGTCGATTAGGATTTGTAAACACACACACAAATTAAGCATGAGTTTATATGAATTAAAAGTAGTGAGAAGAAGAATTTGTTTACGTTTTTGATATCTTGATCAGTCTGGAAACCAAATCTCAGCATCGTCGCCGCCACATACACCGCCAAACGGATTTTCTTTGCGAATTTGAGCGTTGCTTGAGTAACACTTAAGCCTCCGGCGCTATGTCCAACCAGAATGATCTGTAAAAGTTTTTAACGATCTCTGAATCAATCAACTCCACTCGATCGTAGTCGATTGAGGAACAGAGACTTTCCGGCGAAGAAATAAATTAGAAACGATGAATAGATATTACCTGTTCGTTTTCCGGTAGACTGGAGACGAAATCGAGCAGAGGCTTATTGTAATCGTCGAATTTGACGACGGAATTCGGATCGGATAAATCAATTCCAGCGCCTTTGAGATCAATACAGGTGACTTTGAAGCCAGAATTCTCCATTAAGCACCTGATTTTGTACCAGCACCATCCTCCTCCACTTATGCCATGAACGAGCACGAAGTGCGGCGGTTTCTGCACTGCAACAGAGCCCACTGCACTTGGCGCCAGGTTTTCTTTCTCTCCCATGGTGCTCTTCAAATATTTACGAATTGGAAATCATGATTACAAATGTGTGTGCGCGTATATATATATATATATAGAGAGAGAGAGAGAGAGAGAGAGAGAGATGTGCAGTTGAACTAGTCCTTGAAATCATTATATTGTTTTTTTTTTGTTTCGGACCTTTCAGGATTTCATTATTAATATTTTATTGTTACTTTCAGTTCCACAAACGTTGAAAAAACTAGAGATTATAGACAAACGGCCTGTGATGCAGTTTGATCATCATCATACACATCATGAAGCCATTGGACGGTTGAGATTTAATCCCAGCGATGACGGCCACCAAACAGTCTCCGCTCATATTGAGCCTTCTGTGTGTGCGGCTGTAGGGGAATCACATTCTAGAATTTGTTCGCAAAAATAATATAATACAATGGAAGTTACCTTTTTTTCCTCTGTAATTTTGTTCACACTGGATTTAATTTAGTATTTATATTTTTAATAAAATTTAAATTTGTCTTTTAAAAAAAAATCAAATTAGGTTAAATAATTACCATAATTCATGAAAAAAAAATAATGATTAAATGTATTTATATATTTATAAATGGAATGTTAATATAGAATAATTTTAAAAAAGTTATAAATTAATAACTATTTGCTTAATAAAAATCAACAAATTGAAGAATATATTATTATTATTATATCATTGAAAAAAGTGATGTAAAAACAGAATCCACGTCCACTAAACCATGTGCAATACTGAGACGTATTTCCTAATAGTACAAAAAAATTAACCAACTTATTTTATTAAATTAAAAATAAAATACCCTAAAATTTAGGGTAAATATTAAAAATTCACATTTTAACCGTTTTATTAAACTTTTTTTTGGAAGGAAATTATGTGAAAGGCATGCATGACATTAATTACCACGTTATTTATGTAAATTAATGTGAAATAGTTAATTCTATAAATGACTTTAATGATGTATATTTATATTAAATTAACTATAACAATCATCTTAATCTTCCACGTCACATACATGGTCTAATTTTAATATTATTTTTAAGAAGAATTTAAATTTTCAATTTTATACAATTTATTTATGAAATTAGATAATATGGACATATGGGGATGGAAGACACGTCAGCAAAATAGTAGGAAAAAAAAAAAAAAAAAAAAGGCAAATATTTGTTGGGGCAAAAAAACAAAACAAACAGAATATATTAAATGCAAAATTTATTTGGATATGTTATTGGAATCCCCTGTTTTGAGGCGTTTTCGTTTTCTTTTGTTTGTTTATGCCCACTTTGCAGGCTCCGACAATATCCTCATTCATTTTATTTTGTTGTATTTAAAGAGAAGAATTTTGGATTACAATACAAAATCAATACTTTTCAATATTAATTTATCTTATCGCTTAATTGCCCACCTCATCTTTTTATTTTATTTTAATTAACTATCATTAATCCAATTGGCTAAGATTAATATTTATCTACAACCTGGATTGCACTCATCTTTTACCATCTAATTCAATTATATAAAAATTAAAAGTTTGTTATATTATTAAATTATTATATATATATATATATATATAATTTAATAATATAGATTCCAATCAATGATTTCAGAATAAAATTAATTAAGAATTTTAAAATTAATAGGTTTTTAAGAAGTCAAACGCCGACGCGATTGAAGTATTTTAACAACTTTGATGACGTGTTAAGGAATGCCGGCAATGTTTAAATACTTCATTAATAAAAATTGGGAGAAAATAAAATATAATTTTTGAAAATATACTTTAAATCTTTTTTTTTTTTTTTTTTTAATATTTCACTGTCTTGTTTTGATAAAAATTCATTTTCAATATGAAAATTCAAGCACTGATTTTTTTTATTTACTCCAAAATAATATTTATTTTGATCTTTCAAATTTTAAATGTTTATTTTTCTATTTTTGTGTGGTTAATATAAACGTGAGTACAGTTGATTGTAATTGTCATTAATTATAATTATAGTTATAGTTATTATGTATTTCGTTTGAAGGTTGAAATTCCGTCCATACCCTCCTGTCTAGGTTAAAATTGGAAGGGTAGTATTATTCCTTGTCTTGTTGACATGAATATGAGGTGCAAATTGTATAAGCAATAAATATAAACAAACTTCCTTTTGGAAAAAAAAAATACAAAAATAAAATTGTTTATAAAATAATTTAAAATGTGAAAGTCAGGAGAAAGTAGGATCACACACGCAAGATAAAATAATAATAATAATAATAATAATAATAACTAAAAGAGTGCATTAATTGAAGAAAACGTAATTCGTAAATGTTAAGCTATAGTTCGGGTGATTGTTGGATTAAATTATATATTTAATTTTTAAATTTTAAAGTCAAATATATTTGGTTTTAAAATTTTTAAAATTATAAATTTAATTTAATTTTTTTTTTTTTTTTTTTTTTTACATAATTTCATTAAATATATTAAAATTTTGAAGGTTATAATTTTTTTTTCTAATTATTCAATAAAATCCAAATAATAGTCGATAATTATTCAAATTTGTAATTTAACTAATTTTAATCCACTTTTAAAAAATTGATTAAACACAAGTTAATTGGTTTTTATTTAAAATAATAGTATTTATTAAATAAAATTTAATGAAACAAATATTTTATTTAATATGTTCAAATATAAATTATGAAGAAATGTTAAAAAGAATAAAGTGAAGGCAGAGATAAAGGTGGGAAAATAATTGGAGTATTATTATTATTGTAATGTATTTAAGCAGCTTTGCCTTTTTTTCCCAATAGCTACTCACTTGAGCTTTTAAAAGTCATAGCAACTGTGAGCTAAGCCCTTCTGCAACCTCAAAGGAAAACCATGCTTTGTCCCAACTTTTCAACAGATTCTTTCCCCTTTTTCCCAAATTATTAAAATATTACAATGTTTATATATATATAGAGAGAGGTTTATGTGTATATCTATAGGTTTTTAAGTCTCGGAAAAATCGAAATCTTTCTTGTTAGAGAATCGTAATCGATAAGACATTTGGTGATAGAAATATGAACTCTTAATCATTGAAAGGAATCCTTAACGTGCATGTACCCTAAATCTTCTCGTTACATCTAGATACCGAGAATTTACATCGTGTACGGAATGATGAATATTTGTGAAACCCCACATTGGTTGGAGGGAGAATAAAACATTCTTTATAAGTGTGTGTTTAAAACTATGAGACTGACGACGATATGTAATAGGCTAACGGTGGACTTGCACTGTTACAAATAGTATCAAAGCCAGTGATTAGACGATATGCCAGCAAGGACGTTGGCCCTAAGGGAGGTGGAATGTGAGATCTCACATTAGTTGGAGGAGGAAACGAAACATTGCTTATAAGGATGTGAAAGTCTCTCTTTAATAGACGCGTTTTAAAATCATGAGGTTGATGACAATTCGTAACGAGTCAAAATGGACAATATCTTCTATATATTTTTAAAATGTTAGATATTTTTGCTACTCGAAATTTGAATTATTACGAACGGGTCATCATGCATCCCTTTAAACCCTATCTCGAGTTATAGTTCTACTTCAAAAGTAATATTAATGAGGTAAGAGTTAGCCATTCAAGCTTGTAGAGAAAGCAAACTATAAATAATACAAGCAAGTATAACTGTAAAGTGTCATAGTGATGAATGACACAAAATGGGTATGATAATTTCTTAGGTGCGTGGCTATCTTAGGTTATCCCCCACATGACTCTTCCTCTATTGGCCTCCTTGGTTGAAGTCTATATATGGTTTTAAGTCTAACATTCGTGCTTTTTTATTGTTATCCCTGTGTCTTCAGTTTACATGGCTGTAAAAAGTGAAAAAAAAAAAAAAAAAAAGTTAAAAGTAAAAGTGTACGTTACACAAATTCACTATAATATCTGCCGAGAGAGCGTATCATACATAAAGGAACAAATGGTTAGCGTCAGTTTTATCTCTTAAACGTGAACTAAGATTAATTCTGAGAATGTTTGCATAATCCACTGCATCTGTGAAAATTATTTATTTATAATAAATGGAAAGATTTTCTGAATTTTAAATTAATTATTATTTGAAAAAAAAGGAGTGAAGTGTGAGTACACAGGTAAATTGGCCCATTTGAGGAAAAGAAATAGAGGGAGAGCTGGCAAGGCCACGTTTGGTTGTCTCCATGAGTGGGTAGCATTCTACACATGGCATTGCTTAAGCATTTTTCCCCACTTCTTCTTGTAACCTTCAAAACTTTAACTTTGTTCTTACAAATATATTCTATCCTTCTTTTCCTTGCACTCTACTTTTTCTTTCTTTTATCTATCATATATCTTCCTCCATCCATGTGGGTATCTATTCAATTCTAAACATCAAGCCTTCCATCTCCCATCAAAGTATAACAATAAAGTTTCTTTTTGTAAAAACTTTACTAATTATTGGAGTGACGGGTAACTTTTAAAGTAAGTTTTTTCTACTCCAAGTTAATGAGTTGAGTCAGTGTTCAATCTTTGGGTTAAGTTTGACTTTGATCTATAGACTCGGGTGATGCATGTTTATTTCAAGTTACTAGCTTGTTGATTTCACGACACATACAGATCTATAATTGAAAATTTACTCTTATATTGTTGAGAATTGTCACGAATCCAACAGGTACATGAATTGAACAAAATAGATAAAAGTTTGTCTAGCATTGTTACGAGATGTGAAGTTATTGTCATTTTGTATTTATCTAGAAGCCAATAAAAAGAAATTTTGTACGTAGATGTAGGGAAATTTCTTATCTCCGACCCATTAAAACAAAATTGTTTATGGGGTGACGGAAGGCATAAGGATTATAAAAAAAGACTCGTAAAATAGAGGAAATTTGAATATTGAAAATGGGTTGGCGCGAAGAACAAAGAGGACGGTCCAATCCATATCAGAAGAGTGGACCCGGTTCGGTAAATAATTGAGAAAAACGTCAACTTAGTGGCCCATATCCCTCTTTTTTCAAAACTTTCCCCATTTTCCCGCCTACTTTTATTAATGTTTATCTATTCTAATATTTATTATAGATTTTCTATAAAAAGA